ATATGTTCTATTTGTATGGTTGGTAATCTGTCTGATGCATTTATGCATGGAATTTGAGAATTTATGATGGATTGGTGCATGAAGAACATCATTGCACTAAGATGATCTTCATAACTATTTTGCAAGAATATCAGTGCACTAGCTTTGAAGTGAAGTTGATCATCTCTTTCTTTTCTCGTTTGAAATTATATTTTAAAGAAATTATATACGGAGTATAAAAGCAGACCTAGTAACTTGATGAATGAATTGCCAGGGAGGCATTTGGCAATGCGTGATGCAAATTCTTCATGCTGTGAAAATGTTTTAGTAGGTAGTTCTTAGATTTTTTATTCTTTTTGGAGGGGCCAGGAGCCTCCAATCGTGAACCATTTAACATATTGAGCTTCAAAAAAAAGAAACAAATAGAAAGCAACAACAAAATAAGGACATAGAAAGCAAAATCGGAGAAGGGATTGAATTGTTCTTAAAGAACGACACGGTTTAGCATACTTTTCAAAAAAATGTTTTCAATTGTAATTTAGCATGAAGCATGGGTCATCAGTGATCAACCAAAAACTGCATTTTGTTGTGTTTTTGCCTTTTTTGCCACATCTTTCGTGTCTATTGCTTTGTTGCATTCCTTATTCGTGCTGGAGATGTACTGCATCAATTTGGACATCAGCTATATCCTACTAAAGGAGGTAAATACCTTTTAGGTTTTATGTTTTTTAAGGCTTTCTGTTTGTTAAATAGCTTAGATGTTTTTCTGAGCGGAGAAAATCTGTGTATTCCAACATGTATTTCAACATGGTTAATGCAAATAGAAGATGGAAAAAGTCTTGTATTCTACAAAACAGGCCCGAAATATTTAATGTGTTGCGCGCATATTTCAGGTATACAAATGGATGATAATGCAACGTTGGTATCAATTTGATTTCAATCTAGCAACACGGCTAGCAGATTGTTTGGGCAAGGATGGCAAGCACTTGAAATGCCAAGAGGTTTATGATGACATACTTAATCAAGGACGAGTGCCTAATGAGTCAACTTTCCATATTCTAACTGTTGCATATCTTAGTTCATCTTCTCAACCACTGGTGGAGGAAGCATTTAGCATTTACAGCCGCATGATCCAATTGGGAGGTTACAAACCTCATCTTAGCCTGCACAACTCTTTGTTCAAAGCTCTATTGGGGAAAAAAGGAGGTCCTCTCGCAGAGAATCTGAAACGAGCAGAGTTCATTTACCAAAACTTGACAACCTTTGGGCTTCAGATACACCAAGATATCTTTCGTGGCCTCATATGGCTTCACAGTTTTCAAGATTTAATAGACAAGGATAGAATTCCATCACTGAGAGAGGAAATGTGTTCGAGAGGCATCAAAGAGGGCACAGATGTACTTCTGTCAGTCTTGAGAGCTTGCTCCAAGGATGGAGATGTGGAAGAAGCTGAAAGAACTTGGACAAAACTTCTTTCCTCTAGTGATTCCAGTCCTTCCCCACAAGCTTTTGTGTATAGAATGTCGACTTATGCAAAGATCGGAGAGCATATGAAAGCATTTGAAATATTTAGGGGAATGCAAGAGGACTTGTGTCCCACTCCCGCCATAGCGTACTATAAAATCACAGAGATATTGTCAAAAGCTCAACAGGTAGAACTGGCAGAATCAGTCATGAAAGAGTTCATCGACAGCGGTTTGGGTCCACTGAGGCCTTCATTTATACATCTGATGGAGATGTATCTCATTTCAGGCTCACACGAGAAGCTGGAGTCAACCTTCTTTCAGTGTCTTAAAAGATGCCGTCCACACCAGACCATCTTCAGCCTGTACTTGGAGTCATTGGTTGAGAATGGAGACATTAAAAAGGCTGGAGAAGTCTTTGATCAGATGGCTGAAAACCCTTCGATTGGTGTCAATGCCCCCTGCTGTAATACCATCCTGAGGGGTTACCTCTCCCATGGGGAACACTTTAAAGCTGAAAAGGTGTATGAGATGATGCGCCTGAAGAGATACAATATCGATTCATCCTTGACAGAAAAGCTAAGTTTTGTTCTGAGTTTACAACAAGTGGAAGTCAAAGAGCCCATAAGGCAAAAACTCAGCATAAAACAGAGAGAGGTTATAATGGGGCTGTTGTTGGGTGGGGCGCAGATGAAATCAGATGCAGAGAAGAAGAAACATTTAGTCCATTTCCAGTTCGACGAAAACATGAAACATCATTCAGTTCTAAGGACACGTGTGTACGATTTGTACCGCGAGTGGATAGCCTGTCCTCATAACAACCCACTAGCCAATGATGTTCCTTGGGTGTTTGCCACAGTTTCGCATTCTTATTTTGGTTTTTACGCCGACCAGTTCTGGAGAAACGGGCTTCCCACCATTCCAAAACTAATCCACAAATGGATGTCACCCAGAGTCATTGCGTACTGGTACATGTACTCAGGGCACAGGACGCCCTCAGGGGATATTCTCTTGAGATTGAAAGGGAGCGAAGATGGGGTCAAACACGTTGTGAAGACATTCAAGGCAAAGTCATTGGATTGCAAGGTGCAGAGGAAGGGGGACGTGTTTTGGTTAGGTTTTCTGGGAGATAAGACGACATGGTTCTGGAAACTGGTCGAGCCCTTCATTCTTGATGGTCTTAAAGATTGTCTGAAACCAGGAGGAGTTCAACCTGTTGCCAGTTTGTCTGAAACTGACTGGTTGCAGTGATGATTTATGTCATTTGGACTCTCTCCTATGCTCTGGTTAAATTTGTAGCTCAAGAATAGGTTAGCTCTGGCATATTATGCTCTTCCATGAGCAGAATGTAAGTCATTTTTTACTTACCAAATGCTTTTCCTTCCTTTTAGACAATTGAATCCGCTCTATTATGACATTTTTTGTACAACAATTCTTATAACGCGTATATCTTTTTCACATTGGTTGTGTACGTACAAAACCCGCCATAAGATTGAAAAAATACTGTGTACGAAATTGTTTCGTACGTCGTTTGATAAAACAAAATAATAATGTAATATGTGGTTCTAAAACATGTGGAAATTAGAGAAGATGGGGATGGGCTATATAAAGTCCAAAAGGAAATCAATAATGAAAGGTGATAGAGGTAGTAGACAAGGAAGTACGAACACACACCCAAAACACACACATGCTTTAAATATCACTCCCCACTTTTTTTTAATCTGTCTCAAAATAAATATTTTATTTTTTTTTTTTTTGTTTTTAGGAAAAATTATTTGGTTCAACTTCAAAGTGATTCTTTTACTTTTGTACAAATTTCAGCCTTTATCTTTTCTCTATTCAACATCTTTTTTAAATATTTTTTTGCTAAATCTTCATGAAGTCAAAATGAATAAATAATTTATCTATGGCAAAGAGAGTAATAATAAGGATTAGATCATGTTTGGTGTACATAACAAATAGATCGCTTTTTCTAATAGGGTATCTTTAAATCCACTCATAAATGGTTATAATCGTACTTTTCGTCTAATTTTGCTAAATCTACGTCTATAAACATAAGTTTGATATCATTATGGATTTAGCAAATTTAGATAAAAGATGTGGAGGGTAGTAGATAAGTGTAATGGGATTGACTCCAGCGAGATGACACATTATGGTGAGATGACATGCTTCAGTGAACACCAAACTCACCTTTTTTTAATTTTGAAAATTTAAAAATTAATTAAAAATAAAATAGTAACACCGGTCAACCACCGGTCAGCAGCGGTGTCCGGCGACAGCCGGTGCCTGCGGAGCAGTGGCGGCGGCGCGGTGGCGGCAGCAGGCGACAGCGGTGGCGGCGGCAGGCGGCAGCGGGGCAGCCGGCGACGGTCAACGGTCAATGGTCAAAATCTAGTCAGCATCCAATCTTTTGATTTTATTTTTTCAAAAAAAATTAAAATGTTGAAAAAATATGGTGAACTTTGCATTACAGTTTGGTGAGTTTTGTAGTTGTTCTTGGTGAGCTCTGCAGTGGCTAGTGGTGAGCTTTGCATTATCTGACTGTAGCATGTCATCTCACCGTAAGATGTCATCTAACTGAAATCGATCTCAAGTGTAATTAAATTATTCTTAAACTTATATATATCATAATTTTTATTTAATTAAGATTCAAAATTTAGTATATTTGACTTAAAAAACCAAACTATACAAATAAACTGAAATAATAAATTGGCATTTGAGTTAAGCGTGTTGCGAATTGCGATTTGCAAAGGGTGGTTGGGAGGAGGGCCATTAAAATAAATAAAGGCCTACAAAATAGGGGGAGGCGGGGCCATGTAATTTACGATGGAATATTTGGGGAATTGCTCTGTGTCTCGCCACCAGTTGTGCAACCACTGGAAACGTTCCGCTGAAGATTCCAACCCAGTGCTGATGTGGTGAGAACCATCAAATAATACTCTTTCCCACCTTAATTATTTATCCGCTTTTGACTTTTTTCCGTCTAAATCAAATAGTTTTGATCCAGATTTAAATAAATATTGTATTAGATATTGATATAAAAATAATTTTATCATATTTGTTTTATAAAATATTTTAAAATATTATTTTATCTAATTAATATAATATATACTCCGTATATATATATATATATATTATATATATATATAGATTTTGGTTCTGGTGAGAATGCAATCTTAGGAGAGAAATGAGAATGAATCTAGTGCTTTAGATTGTGAGATCTAAAGGTCAAGATTTCATCAAAATTAGATGCACCAAAATGGTGCGAAAATGTATCACGTCGAAATGCACCATAAACCTTCGAAAATGCACTATCTCAAAATCTGAGCGTATGATGCAATCTGAGCCGTACAATGCATCAGATCCGACGGCTAGATTTTATTCTCATTTCTCTCCACAAGGTGCATTCTCACGGGAACCGGCCCCTATATATATATATATATATATATATATATATATAATTTGGTTCCGGTGAGAATGAGATCTTATGAAAGAAATAAGAATAAATCTCACACCGTTAAATCTAATAGGTTTTTTAGATTAGATCTGTATTTGACAGGGTTATATTCGAGATTTGACAACACAATATTCTCTCTCTAAATCTGCATCAGATCAAGAAACAAAATCAACCCACGTTCACCCCAATCTGCGGTCTCCTTTTTCGCCTTTCTGCTATGGTAATTTCAACCTACAAACTAGGGCTTTCTCTTTGAATTTCAGAGAGACCTCTTATGAGTTCTCGATCCTCCGTCAATCTGTCTTATTTGAAGGTGCGATGGATTGTGGTACACCTTATTGAATTTTTTTCATTATTAGGTAGTCCTCTATGCTTTTCGATCTGTTTGCGATTTCTTATTTTCTTGTGATTTTTGCTTACGCCGATGCTCTGCCATCATCTTCATTCTACATTTTTTCCTTTTTTTTAATAGAGAAATCTGACATTTCTTGGTTAGATTTAAGTTTTTTATACACTATTCTGGAATCACAAATGAGAGCAACTCAAATTTCTAAAGCTGAGGTTTGCATTCCATTTGTCCGTCAAAGTCAAGATTTAGAGTTGGCATGATTTTTTATATATATTATTTGTAGGTTTTTTCAATATCATCCTTTAATCTAGGAATTTGTGTATCAATTCATTGTCTATTTTAAATAAAATACCTTAATTCTCTACTCTTAGGACCCCCCAAGTATGCATTTTAGTACATTATATAAAATATGCAGTGCATTTTAAAGATTTTGTAGTGCATATTACGGAGTATGTAGATTCCAGGTTGATTTATATAAACTGATTACATGTGGAAAGGTGTAAAATTGAATAGACTAAAATGCATTTTTGATAGGTCAAAGTGCTAACATGGGACTCCTTTTTGTTTGTGCACCATATTCTTGCTGCTCCGGATATATTTTGCTCCTTTGAATGTGTGGATTGTGTTATTTGTGTGAAGTGCATTCTCAGAATCAAGGTAAATGATAATGTATTCTATTATTATGCATTCTCCGAAGCAAGGTAAAAGATAATGTATTCTATTATTATGCATTCTCCGAAGCAAGGTAAATGATAATGCATGTATTCTATTATTATGCATCCTCAAAATCAAAGTTTAATTCATCTATCAAGAATAACACCTAGTTAGATTTCAAGAGAGAAAAATGAAATTCATGTATGATATAGTTAAGTTCTTTTGACACAAATATGATGCATTTGTATTTTTTGGATAGTAACATTTTTTGTAATAATGATGCATTCAAAATATTCTGTAATACATTTTAATATGGCTTAGAAACACGTTGAATGATGTAAGTTTAAAATCGGTAAAAATGCATATATAATAGGTCCATGTGTAAGACGTGAGTCTGTATAAAAATAAATTATTGCTTATTAGCTCAAATGGTAGAGCGATATGCACTATAGATGTGGGTTCGAATCCCACATGGGCAAACTATTTCTTAAATATGTATTTCACTTGATATGAATACAATGCATTCTCATGCTTTTAGAATGACGTTTGCAGATTTCACAATGCATCTACCCAAGATAAATTCAGAAAAGTGGGATAATAAAAATCTTTTCCTAAATAAGATGCATTTTAAATTATACAATTTTACTCTTCTTATAATCAAACTCTGAATCTTAATATAATTTGGAACGAAGGAAGTAACATTAAGTGAGTTTGCAAAACAAGAGGAAATATTATTTACTATATTAGGGGGCGGTTCAGGTGAGAATGCATCTTGGTGAAAGAAATAAGAATAAAATCTAGCTTTTGGATCTGATGCATCGTGCGGCTCAGATTGCATCCTGCACTCATATTTTCAGATTGTACATTTTTTAAGGATTTTGTTGCATTTCGACATGATGCATTTTCAAATCATTTTGGTGCACCTAATTTTGATGCAATCACATCCCTTAGATCTCACAATCTAAAGCACCAGATTCATTCTTATTTCTTTCATAAAATCGCATTCTCACCTGAACAAAAATCTACTATATTATTTTATCAAATGATAAATAAAAAAGGAAAAGTAAATAATGTATGACTCTATAAATTTTAAAAGGAAAGATAATATTTTTTAAACAAAAAATGCATTATCTACCGCACTAAAAGTAATTAATACTTACCTAAAAAATATTCACCTTTTAAAACTTACAAAGTAACTTGCGGAAATATAGGCCTGTCATTATAAACAATTAAGTATACGTAAATAATGATTTCCATTTTTCCACTAATGCCCCCAGCCCCGTAGATTTAACTTAATAAAAAAATCAAGCATTCATTGCTTTCCTAATTCAAAGGCAAAACACGTGCCACTTGTAATATCTCCTAACCGTCAGATGCAACAAATCAATGTCTTACAATTATTCTCATTTCTTTCACCAAAGCTTATTCTCACATGAACCAATATATATATATATATATATATATATATATAGAGTTTGGTTCCGGTGAGAAAGAGATCTAATGAAAGAAATAAGAATGGATCTGAAGCCTTGGATGGAGCAACTTTGACCGTTTTGTTTTTTTAGTATCATGGGCATATTAGTATTTTACCTCACTTTCCTTCCTCTCTCTCAACTTCGTGTCCATCACTTGCGTAAGACCAGGCAATTACATTTCATCTTCTACTTTCAGCACTTCTTCCATTTTTCTCTAGATTTTTCATAATCTTTTCCATAAATAACTATCAATTTTTTTAGTTAAGAACGCCCCAAATTATTTTAGCCGATTTTAAATTCTTCTACCATCAAATATGTGTTTAGCCTTCATTTGATTTCATAATCTGTGCATAATCTTCTGAAAGTCCAAACATTAATTCAAGATTTGCCTCACAAAGTCATTCTTCTCTCTTGATCTGATTCGGGTCTTGTATTCTTTGATCTCAAAAGTGTCCCAAAATCCGTTTCTCAATTTTTTTTGGCTGCAGAAGGCGTAATTAAGCTCTTTCTCAATTTTCAATCAACCTGGGACTGACGACAACAAATATTGGACGAGAGTTGATTTTTGACACAACAGCCCTCTCCAATTTTATTGAGGTGAAATCTTTTTTTTATTTTGCTTAAACGATTTACATCAATTTATTTGTGTTAATTTTTGCTTTATTTGATTTTGATTCTTGATTCAACTCTGTTACTGTTCCAAAAATTTTTATTTTGCTACTGCATTGACATTTTGGTGAATATACGGAGCATCGGGTAGTTCTTCACCCTTTTTATTACTCTGTATGTTGTTTCATTGTTTTCTGGTGGGATCTACTTTATTCATGCGATGCCATTTTAATAGTCCTATAATGCACTTCTTATCATTTTAGTAGTCTAATTTTCCACCTTGATATTGATCGTTGGTATGTGTTACGAATATGGATTGGTTTTTATTTAGTGTTTCATTGACGCACATTTCTTAAATGTTCTTGCTTAGTAGCGGTGTGTGTTTAGAATTGATGATTTCATTTTTTGATGTATTTTATATGGAGTAGTTAGTTTTATTGCTGACTTTTTTCTAATTCACTTCTTCAATTTAAGCACACCAAATGAGTTTTGTGTTTTAACCTTTTGCCCATAGCCATCTGAAAAGGTGATTTTATTTCTACCCCTTGTATTAAACTTGATGATAAATCTGTATAGTGTGTTTTTAAATTTAAATTTTCTTTCTTATAGGCATAGCATCGTGTATTATGCAAAATGCACTATCCACATTTTTTGATGCATTTACATTGAGCACCGATCTGCACCCGCACACATGATTTTCATTTTTTTCTCGCAAGAAAATTGTGATTTTTACACCATTTATAGTTACTCTTAATCTATACTCAAATTTTTTACCTAGATTTTAGTTGGCGTATGTATTATTTATATGGATCGATTTTCATTTACTGGTTCATGGATGCACATTCCCCACATATTCTCTAGGTTTCAATTCTAGATCTTCGGTTACTCAGGTGGGCGTTTGAAGTTAATGATTTCATGTTTTATGATATATTAATATTTATTTTAATAGCTGGTTTTATCATTTTGTTATTTTATCTAAATGCATGGTAATGGATTTTGGGTTTAATCTTTTACTCGAAACAACCCAATAAGAAAACAATTTAATCTCTACCTCTTTTGTATTAACCTTGATGTTTCATATGCATGGTGTGGTTTCAGGTTCTTTTTTTTGGCATAACATTTTCTATTACAGGTATTGCACCCTCCTCGTTTTATGATGTATTTTTGTTGATCATATCTCCCCCTCCACACACACACACACATCTTAAAGAATTCCAAATATACATGTGCTAAGTGCTTTCATATTTTCATTTGTCTTTGCAGGCATAATATGACTCTTACACAATTCACCGGAGTTGGCAGACTTGAAAAGTGCATAACTTTTATGTTAGCGTTGAATTATAAAGGCGATGTTGAGTCATACGTATGGTGAATTTGCAAATTCCAAGATGCTACAAATTGTTTTCTTATATGCACTATATCTAGCCAAGATCCAAGCATATGCAAGTGACACATTTTGTCAAGAGTAATTGAGAAGGTGTATCCCATGGTCAACAAAAGTTCAGCGTTCATACCTAGACCTTGATGTATGAAATTATTATCAAAAGTTTGATAACTTTGAAGAACAATGGTTGGGCTTAATAACGGAATATGAATTTGATCTGTGTGCTTGGTTCTGTGGCTTATTATTTTCATATTGTGTTTACTGTGTTGGAGGAAATTATATTAATTAGAGTATATTTTCAATGATCATACGGATATGGTGCATTTTATCAATGATCATATAGATATGGTGCTTTTATCAATAATGATCATACAGATATGGTGCATCCCTATACAGAAGATAGTGCATCATGAAAATATAAATTAAAGTATCTCAGGGCAGAGTAGATAAACATGCATCATGGACCGCATCATATGCATCACAATACAACTATAATGCAATTTTTCAAGAGATTATGTAGATAATCCAATAAAATTAAAGTATTGTGCCATTAAAGACATCCATTGATCATCTTTTCAAAAATCAAAATATAGAGTAAATATTAGATTGTCACAACCTAAATTATGCATGATTAGTTGTTCTAGGATGCATGCCAGTTTGGTGACTGGTTTAGTAGTTTTGTAAGTGTTGTTGTACATAATTTCTGAAGAGATGTCTCATATTTTATCAAACAATACTGCTATATGATAGATACAGCGTTTAGCAAGCCCTCCATGTGCACCATCATGCTATCTCATATTCTCCTTCATTATTGTTTTGCTTCATTGGACTCTTTATATAACCAATCATCAATTTTTATATAATAATTATGATCTCAATCATTATTGATCTCCTTCATTATTGTTTTATGTCATCACACATTTCAAACCACACATAATGTTAAATTTGAGAACATTGATACATTGCTTTCTCTAAAGATACCATAATAATATCTATAAGAGAGCACTATAGTAATTTATAATGCAACACTAATTTAATTATTTTTATAATGCATCATATAGCGCCCCTTCTAGACATTAATAAATTTTATATTATAACAATCACAATGCATATTAATTACCCTAATTTGCAAGACAGATCTCCTCCAAATGGATAATGTTATTTGTACCCTAAAAATTTGTACCCCATTTTGTACACTGTAGAGATGCACCATCATTTTGTGTTGGTGTAATGCTAATTTTTCTTAACACACCAATACTTGTGTCAGTGTAAATTTTTATTAATGCACCAACACTTTGTGTCAGTGTAAACTATCAAAATATTGGTACATACCTTTGGTGTATAAATGGAGTACAAATTTTAGGATACATGTACCATGCTCCCCTTCAAATTAAAGCCTAAGCTTTGTGGGGAGATGGGATCTTAATGCAACCTGAATTTGTTATAATGCATCACATAGTGTCTCTTCTAGACATGGATACATTTTATATTATAAAAATCACAAATTTCCAATGCATTTTAAACACCTTAATCTGCACGACATATCTCCTCCAAATTAAAACCTAAATTTTGTCTAGACATGGTAAGCACGATTGATCTTTTCTAAAATAAAACCTAATTTTAGTTTGGACATGGCAAATATGGTGCATTTAATCTTTACATGAACAATTTTGTCTCTTAGAAAAGAAAAATCCCAAAAAAAATTCTCATAACCCTTTAAATCAATATGGCTCTAGAATATCAGAATTATAGCATAATGATGAAACCCTAATTCAAAATTAAACGAATTTAACAACTAAAAATTTTCAAAAAAAGCATGTTCTAAATCTTCCATAAAAATTGAAGAAACTCAAAGTTATTTCAGATCAAGACGAGAATTAATAGCAAAATAAATTAAATTAAAACAATATATTGGAAAAAGATGCATCTAAACCACCACTATGTAGTATGTAATCTCATCTCCTCTGAACATAAGATCCGGCAATGCATAAATCCATATGAATAAAAAACTGAAATATTTTTAACGTAGAAAGAATGCTCTGCTTTTTTGAATCCTGGAAGGGATGATGCTCCCTAAGAATTAAAGACTTTTGGAAAGTGGGTAAGGGGCTTTCAATCTTTATTGCTTCAATCGTGATATTGTACATATTAAATTTTGACACTTATGCCCCTGACAACCTAATCGTCCCTTATTTGTAGCAATACATCAAAACTTTACTTTAATAGTTTAACTTTGCTATGCCATCAGTTTCTTAATCATGTCCGTCGGATGCATCTAATCTAATGGCTATTTATTATTCTTATTTCTTTCACCAAGCATCATTCTCACCGGATCTCACCCCTATATATATATATATATAGATTGACTCCAGTGAGATGACACATTACGGTAAGATGACATGCTTCGGTGAGATGGCGCAAAGCTCACCACATTACACTGCAAAGCTCACTCATAGCCAATGTAAAGCTCACCTGGGAATAAAGCAAAGCTCACCACTTTGAACATCAAAACTCACCTTTTTTTTTAATTTTGAAAATTAAAAAATTAAAAAAAATAAAATTGCATGACCGGTCAACCACCGGTCAGCGGCGGCGAGGCGGCAGAGACCGGCGGTGGTCGGCGGCAATGGCGGTGGAGGTCGGCGGCCGGCGGTGGCTGCCGGAGTCCAACGACGGCGGCGGCGGAGGTCGGCGGTGGTCGCCGGCGGCCGGCGGTGGCTGCCGGAGTCCGACGACGG